TCTAACACTTGGACTTTCAAATCTATTTATGTCACAGGAAAATGTAAACAGCTGTGGGTGTGGACATCACTCACTGGTGCAATTTTTTCCCCTGGTATCAAATCAACATTAAAAAAAAAAGAAAATTTAAAAATTCAAAAAAAAAATTAAATTTAATTTCTTTTTTCCATTCCAGTCCCCTTTGAGGTCGCTACAAAACTTTGCTTCCACATAAATGTTGGGCACCACAATTTTTGTTTAATACACCTGGCAATGTTTTCAATATCTGCATAAATCCCAAATTCTTTTTCAAGGGCTATCAGCACTCAAAGAGTCAGTCAATTTTAACTTTTCATTACACTTTTCATGATTATTTTCATATTATTTGAAAACAGAAACACTTTTTTTTAACAGTGTGTCTACTACAATTCATTGCTGATGGCAGAATATACAAGTTTTAGTTGAAATGTGCATTTATTTGTATTTATTTGTGGTTTTTTTCTCCATACCTGTATCCTGCCATAGGTTATCTGCCAAATTCCCAACCAATTCCTCCATATCAATCAGTTCTCACACACAAGCCTGCAAAATTCACTATTTTGTAAAGAGTTTCTTTTTCCATGACATTTCTAAAGATATCCACTTGCCCATCATCATTCAGAATGTCTCTACATCCAGTAACAACCTAGGAAAAATTACCTAATTAATACCTAATTCCCTTCCTTCCTTCCTTCCTTCCTTCCTTCCTTCCTTCCTTCCTTCCTTCCTTAAAGATATCTTTCTTTTTCTTTCTTTCTTTCTTTCTTTCTTTCTTTCTTTCTTTCTTTCTTTCTTTCTTTCTTTCTTTCTTTCTTTCTTTCTTTCTTTCTTTCTTTCTTTCTTTCTTTCTGAGTACTTTTTATTCAGGATATTCAGTCATTATTTTCTTTCCCTGCCAAATACACTTTTTTAAAATGTCTAAACCACTTGTTTTGTTTTATCCACTGTTTTTGTCACCCCTACACATTTTATAACATTATTTTCCTTATTGGCTAATTCTCTTGAGTGGCAAGTGAAGCTCAGTACAATCTTCAGTCAGTCCAAGTCCTTTTTAAAGTACCTAATGACAGTTCCTCTGAGGGAATTCCCTTCAAAACTGTGCATTTGGCTGGAAAATTAGTTAATTCTTAGATACCTTTTAAAACTCTTCACCAATATTATTGTAATTTTGGTGGTGTTTTTTTTTCCTTTTATTACTCTCAATTTAAACAGTTTCTTTAGACTTTTTTTTTCCTGGATGTTCCCCCAGCTTTGTTTCAGCTCAATCAGCTTTTCTCACCTTGCTATGTGAATAATTAAGTTTATTTTGTTGCCTTCTTCAGTATTTTCTTACTAGTTGTTTGAAGTCTGATATACTTTCAAACATCATTTTTAAAGAAAAGGAAATTTCTGTGTAGTGGTGAAACATTTTAGAAAATACTGGTGAGATTTAATTTGTGTACAGTCCCTCTACGTGGTGCAGAGATTTTAATTTCTTTTTTATTACCTTTCTTCTTTCAGGAACACCACCACTTGTGTGGTGCAGAGCTGGGATTTGCTGGTTTCTCCACCAAAAAGAAGGGATTTCAATTTATTTCCTGTTCTTCAGGGCATCACTTTTCTTCTCCACCCTCCTTGGTGTTAAAGAGCAGCTTTTCCACCCAGGTGCTCTGGAAAATAATTTGTCACATGTGCTTACAGAAGCCATGGAAAGCTCTCAAAAGTGTCCAACACATCAACAAGATTTGAAATTACTTTTTTATTAGACTTAATAATGTCTGAGCTCCTTAAAAGGGTAGTTTTTGTCATGAATTTGTGTAAATTGTAAAATTTCTCCCATTGAATTCCTGGAGTTAAATCCCTTCCAGTCCAAACCATTCTGTGATTCCACACCACTGTCCTCTGAACAAAAAAAAAAAAAAAAAAAAATTGAAAACTAATAAAAACCCCCAAAAGAACAGAAAAAAAGGTTCTGGGTACCCAAGAAAATTTTGGGTAACCCCAGCTTCCCTATGGTTATCCTAAATAAGGAATGCTGTCATTCCAAACCAATTAATCCATTCATTTCAGCTCTGGCTTGAGGCAAATATAGAAATGGAATTTTTCAAAATAATTTAAATCTATTTGTTAAATGATGTCCCAGAAATAATCAGGTAGAAAAGTGGAAGGGATTTGGAACTGGATGGTCTTTAAAGTCTCTTCCAACCCAAACCATTCCATGAGAATTCTGTGATAACCAGGAAGAAAAACAAATGTATGGATCATTCTAAGTTCATACAGATTTTCCCTTGGCTTTCAGTTTAGGTTCATTTGTTAGTGGATTTCTTCCATTCAGTTCTGGCTCACCAAACTCTAAAACAACAAATGAAGATCCAAGTCAAGTTTGGATCTGGTTGACTCCACAAGTGGAGTTACATCCAAAATGGATTTGAGCAAAATCTGTACCCTCCTGGTTAGTTCTTTGTGATAAACCCAGGAATAACCAGAATATATTTATTTAATCCTGTTCTTGCAGCTGAACACAGCAATGCATGAACCAACAGCAGTAACAATGATAAAAATTAAGTGATTAAGAGCTGCCAACCATTTTTACATTAATTCAGAGCTCCTCAATCACAGAATTCCAGGGTGGTTTGGGTTGGAAGGGACCTCAAAACCCACCCAGTGCCAGCCCTGCCATGGCAGGGACACCTTCCCCTGTCCCAGGCTGCTCCAAGCCCCAGTGTCCAACCTGGCCTTGGGCACTGCCAGGGATCCAGGGGCAGCCCCAGCTGCTCTGGCAATTCCATCCCAGCCCCTGCCCACCCTGCCAGGGAACAATTCCTCATTCCCAAATCCCATCCAGCCCTGCCCTCTGTCAATTTTAAACCATTCCCTGTGACCTTACAAAAGTTTCCTGTCCTGTAACAGGATTTCTTTTGGTTGATCCAAATGATAAATTTACAGGGTATCCACCTCCCACTGAATTATTTTGGAAGATTTCAGCAAAATCAGTGAAACAGTTTGAGCATCAGAGCAAAAGCTGGAATTTTTGGCACAGAGCCCTCTCATTGTCAGAAGCCTTCTGCATCTGTCCACTTAGAAAATCCACCCCAAATTTGGGCAATTTGAGACTGACAATTTTAGCTTCATTTGGGAATGGTAATTCCTTCAGAAAATCAAAACTCAAGGGGCTTCTCAGTGGAATATTGGTGCCCACAGCCTGGAGATGGGAAGGGAATTCACCTGTCCCTACATCTGGGCCGACAGTGATGACCTCTCCCACATGGGGATATTTCTCTTCGTGAAAGAGTTGTTTTATTCCTCCTGCTTTCTGGGTTTAGGGTTTTTTTAATGTATGTGAGTTTTTATTTTGGGTTTTTTTTTTTGTGTTTGTTTTTTGTTTTTTGTTTCTTTGGTTTGTGTTTGTGTTTTTGTTCTCTTGCTTTTTTGTGTTTTGGTTGTTTTGTTGTTGTTGTTGTTGTTTGGGTTTTTTTATTTTTAGAGAGTTTCTTTGGTGTGTTTTTTTGTTTGTTGGTTTTGTGGTTTTGGGGTGGGATTTATGTCCCTTCCAACCCAAACCACTCTGGGATTGTTTCTGTAGAGGAGCCCCCCTGGGGGTGCTGAGCTCTCTGCACAGCAGGATTGGGACACAGGTTCCTTGTGCTCCCTGGTTTGTTTGTGGGATCTCTGTTGCCAGGCACAGGGGCAGCTCCTGCCTGCTCCAACCGGAGCTTTTCCTGGACACCAGGCTCCAGTTCCTAGAAATGAGTAACCAAAGTATCTTGGAAGAAGTTTCCCAAGAAAAACAGCTGATTGTGAAAGTGATGGCAAAACAAATCTTCACACTCAGAAGCAGCTGTGCTGTCCAGGCTTTTTTTTTTTTTTTTTTCCCTCTTTTGAGTGCCCCTTGGATGGGGTAAAAAAATAAAACAAACAAAAATAAGCCTCTTTATCTGCCCCACACTAATTAATGACAGTAATTACCTCCCTCAACTACTCAGCTACCTGCATCCTGCCAGTAATATTTAGTGATCCCAGTTAAATACCCCTTCTTTCTACAATGACCACTTTCCCTCTCCTTCCTGAAATGTGGGACAACTTTAATATCTATTTTTTTTTTTGTCCCCTAGTGGGTTTTGCCAAGTTTTCCATAAGTGCTGCAGAGGAAGGGATGTGGATGGGTTCGGGTACTGAAGGCTGAGGAGGAAGAGGACAGAACCATCCTCCAGGAACTGACAGGGTTATGTTTATTTTAACGATGTGAATCTGAATAAAATCTAATTTAGTGAATAATCTGTGAAGAATGAAGTGAAAATAACGACTTAGGAAAGCAATAACATTCACAACTCGACTGCTGCTTTACAGGTTTCCTTCAGGACTTGCAGTTCCGCCGACCGACAAGTCCCGGTTCCGCTGAAATCCCGGGAATCCCGTCTGAGGCCACACCTGGAGGACATGGCAGCATTTCCCTCAGCGCTCGGGCATTCCCACACTGATCGGTTCCGTGGTTTTCAAGGGTTTTCAAGGCGAAATTCCTCGCTGCGTATTTGCGAGGCGCTGCCCTCCTGAATGTCTCGCACAGGCTCGGGGAGCTCTGGGCACCGCGGCCCGGCGGAGTTTGGGAACTCGAAGCGATGAATCCCGCGTGGAATTAGAACGGAGACAAGTTCGCTCCTCGTTTATATCGGTGCTTGTGGCTGTGCAATACACTCAGAGGGATACATTTCAGGACAGCGAGGCCTTTCCCGGGCTTCCATTGTCACCGCCTCACAGTCGCGACAAGCGACATTCGAGGGCTGCGTAAGGCGGCGGCGGCCGCGCCTACAACTCCCATCAGCCCACGCGGCTCCCCGGCCCGCAGCGGGCGCTGCGGGCGCGCAAAGCACGCCGGGATCCGTAGTTCCCCGCTGCTGCGGGCGTTGCGTCACTCACCCCGCCCGCGCTTTGCTATGACAACGGGGGCAGTGGGCGGGGCCGCGCGGGAAGCGGCGTCAGCGGCTGGGAAGTGACGGCGGCGAGGACCCGGATGTGGCGGGGGCGGGGTTGAGGCGCACTCCGCCCCGGATCACGTGAGGCGGCGGTCACGTGACGCAGCGATGGGGACGGCGCTGGACGTGCGGGTGAAGCGCGCCGGGAAGGTCTATCGCGATGGGGTGCGTGTGTCTTCTGCCCTGGGCAGTGCCCAGCCCTGAGCAGAGCCCAGAGGGGCTCTGGGGGCTCCTCCCTGGGGACATTCCAAGCCCACCTGGAGCGTTCCTGGGTCACCTGCTCCAGGTGACCCTGCCTTGGCAGAGCTCCCAGATCATCTTGGGGACATTCCAAGCCCACCTGGAGCGTTCCTGGGTCACCTGCTCCCAGATCATCCCCAGAGGCCCCTTCCCAGCCCAGCTATTCCGGCATTCCCTGAGCCTGTCGCGGGTACCCGGGGTCTGTCGGGAACACTGCGGGGTCCCCGCTGGGCTCGGGGCCGTGTCCTGGCCCGGCATTCCCGCTGGGAGCGGCCCGGGGCCGGCCCTGGCAGCGGGGATCGCTCGGCAGCGGAGTCGCTCGCCCTCTCCTGTCGCTGCTGCCGCGGTGTCGGCGTCTTTGCCTGTGTCCCTGTCCGTGTGTCCCGGAGCTTTCCCTGTGTCCCTGTCCGTGTGTCCCGGAGCTTTCCCTGTGTCCCTGTCCGTGTGTCCCGGAGCTTTCCCTGTGTCCCTGTCCGTGTGTCCCGGAGCTTTCCCCGTGTCCCTGTCCGTGTGTCCCGGAGCTTTCCCCGTGTCGCTGACCCTGTGTCCCGGAGCTTTTCCTGCCCGCGTGTCCAGGAGCTTTCCCCCTATCCCAAAGCTTTCCCCGTGTCCCTGTCCGTGTGTCCCGGAGCTTTCCCCGTGTCGCTGTCCGCGTGTCCCGGAGCTTTCCCCGTGTCGCTGTCCGCGTGTCCCGGAGCTTTCCCCGTGTCCCTGTCCGTGTGTCCCTTTCCCTCTGCCCTTCCCCGGAGCTTTTCCCCCGCTCCCAGCTCTTCCCCCATCCCTGCCCGGAGCTGTCCCGCTCCCGGTTTCCCGGTGAGCTCCCAGCAGGTGCTCAGCTCCGGGATTTTGGGCGTTTCCTTTGGGATTGAGCCGTGCTTTTTTTCCTTCCCCATTTCCTGGGTACCGCGGGCAGACCCTGACCCAGCTCTGCACAGGCTGATGTGGCTTGAAAGGAAAAGAATACTTTTAATTTTTATCACTGTTTAACTAGAAATCCTCAATTGCTCAGCAGCAATGTTCAGGTCTGTCTTTTATTCTTGCACTTGTATAATAAAAAATCCTTTCCATCCACCAGAATTCCATTTATTGAATGATTTTAATCCTGGAAAACTGGATTTGAAAGGAAGGGCGTGCAGCATCTGTCCTACAATTGTCAGATTATCTAGAGAATGGCTTTGGCAAAGCTGAATTATTCCCTTTAGGAATGGCTCCAGAGGGGTAAACACTGTCTGTGTCTCACTTTCACATCACTTTGTGCATTATAAAATTATAAATTATTAGGATTTTGGTTAATTATCTATTTCAGTTTCTCCTTGCTGTGTCTATTTTCAATTTGACTGAGCTTGGCTTGCTTTATATCACTTTTAAATGAATTTTTTATTGGTATGGAAAGGAATATTCCCTGTGTTTTAAGCTGAAATTAGGATCTGGTCAATCAGTCTGTCAGTTTTATTTTTACCTTCCACTTTAACTCCATGTGTAAGGGTTTGTAATTTTAGTTAATTTACTGGGCCTGGAATCTGTAAGTCTGGGATGAAAATGATGGAAGAGCTCTACACTGGAGATACAGCATGGATTTTTAGTAGGAATCTCCTAGGAAGAGAAAGGAGCTGCAAACCTCAAATTAGGCATGGAGGGGACCTTAAAATCATCCAGTGCAGGGACACCTTCCACTGTGCCAGGCTGCTCCAGCCCCAGTGTCCAACCTGGCCTTGGGCACTGCCAGGGATCCAGGGGCAGCCACAGCTTCACCTGTGCCAGGGCCTGCCCACCCTCACAGGGAGAAAATTTTTCCTCATTCTCTGATCTAAACCTGTAATTTTTCATTTGGAGTTCATTCCCTGTGTGCTGTCCCTGCATCCCCTGGAAATTGTCTCTCTCCAGGTTTCCTGGGGTTCCTGCAGGCCCTGCAAGGCCACCCTGAGCTCAGCCCAAAGCTTCTCCTGTGCAGCTGAACAATCCCAGCTGTGCCAGCCTTTCCTGCCAGCAGAGCTGCTCCATCCCTCTGCTCATCCTGGAGCCTCCTCTGGGCTCTCTGCAGCAGCTCCAGCTCCTCCCTGTGCTGGGACAGGGCTGGGGCAGCTCTCAGGTGGGCTCTCACCTGAGCACAGGGGCAGAATTTTGAGCTGTTTTTTGCACTTCTGAAGGAATATTGAAAGAAAAATTGATATTTAACTTCCAGTCATCCTTGCCTTTCCTGCTCCCAGGCCGTGCCCCCTTCCCATGTGCAGGCAGCAGCTCTGGAATGGGTTGTTGCTGTGTGACAGGAAACATCTCCTTTGTTAAAGCAGTTCACGTGTTCAGGGTTGTCCTTACTTCTCAGAGTTGAGCTGGACTCATTTTTTAAAGCAATAACCTAATTGCTTGTGCTAATTAAGGCCCCTTAGCAGAGCAGTGCAGAATTTAGGTCAGCTTTTCTTTGCTGTCCCTTTGTGCTCCTGTTCCAGCATTTCCCACTTGCTGCACTTCCTCTTCCCAGGCTCTCAGGATGTCACCCTTGCTTGGATGTGGATGTTTTCCTGCTACCTCTACCCCCCCCGACCCATTTTTGCCATCCTGCACCACCAGGAAAGACAAAAACCTGCCAGAATTCCCATTCTGCTGGAGATATCCTTGTTTGCAGAGTGAGCAGTTGGGATTGTCTGGGGGGAGCTGTTCCTTGGGGCCAGCTTACCTGGGCAAGGAGCAGGAGAGGAGCTTTATTCCCAGGGAACTCTCCAGTTCTCAGTGACCTGCTGCCCCTTCCAGCTGGGAATATTTCAGGATTGAAGCAGATTCTGCAGTGTGGGAGAAGGGGAGGATATACCATGGAGTGTGGGAAGGGAGTTTTGTGCTGCTCTCCTGCAGTTCACCAGGTTTTGGGTGTTACTAAGTCTGAGGATGCAGCATTTTTGTGCAAAGGATATTTTGTGGACAGCACATCCTTCATGGGATGAGTGACAACATCCCTGGAGTCACACAACTCCTGCCTTTCATTCAGATTCACTTCAAAACTGTTTTTGTGTTCATTTTTTTTGTATTTTAAATCTCTTCTGCTCCACTCTCAAGGTGAATCTCACCTTCAGCTTGGCCATCCCTTTTCCAGTTGTGCCTTTTCTTCCCTCTCCTGTGGCTGACCATCCCAATTTTCATACAGCAGTTCCTTCTGGCAGTTTATTCCAACACAAACAGAACTTGGCTGTTACCAGCTGACCCAAAAGAAAGGTTTTTCATCTTCCTGGACAGAAAAATCTTGAAATCGTGGGAAGAAGTTGAAGCTCAGGTTAATACTTCAGCCAAGAGGATGATGATGATATTTCTAAGGAAAAACCAAAAATGCAGAGCTCTCATCCTGAGCTTGGGATTCTGATCCTGAGCCCTGGGATTCTGGAAATCCAGGAATTCTGGTAGAGTTGAGATGCTGTTGTTTCTCTCTCTCATCCTAAATCCCTTCATCAGTGTTTGTCTGTCCTGACAAGGTTACACCATTCTTTGGGAGCAGGATTTTTTTGGAGTTTGGAGATCAGTTCCAGGCTGTTTATGGAAAAATGGATTTAAACAAATGTTTTCCTCTTTCTTAGGAAATCCTTTCTGGAGTGGTGGTCATAACCAGTAAGGACACAGTGCAGCACCAGGGGATCTCCTTAACCATGGAGGGCTCAGTGAATCTGCAGCTCAGTGCCAAAAATGTGGGTGTGTTTGAGGCCTTCTGCAACACTGCCAAGGTAAGGCCTGCCCAGGTGAATGTTTTTAGCACAAAAAACTTTATTTTTCTGAAATGAAACCTTTCCTTCAGGGCTCTCAGGTGGTCAGAGCTGCTCATGGTGTGGAAGGGATGGGAAGCAGGGAAATGCTCAGCTTTATCTGGAGATCTCAGAATCCCAGGATGGGTCAGGCTGGAAGGGAGCACAGGGGGTCACTGGTGCCACCTCCCTGCTCCAGCAGGGCCATCCCAGAGCACAGGGCTTTGTCCAGAAAACTCTGGAATATCCCCAGGGATGGATATATGAGGACATTTTAGGGAAGTAACTTGCACTGGTGGGAGAATTTTCTTTCAGGCTGAAATGCACTGCCATAAATAGTTAAAAAAATTACTGGATGATGCACTGACAATCTGTGATCTAAAGAAAAAGAATTATTGTGTGACGTTATTTAATTTTTGTTGAAGTGACTGGGTTTAACTGGACTGTTGTGCCAGATCAGTCACTGCCATGGAGGGGTTCCTGGGCACGACACAAGACTTGCCAGATTGCTCTGGAGAGAATGGGACCTGTGGAGCCCCTGGAAGGGCTCTGTGCTGCTCCCCAGGGAAGGGCTGGGCTGGTGGGGCAGGGCTGGCTCTGCCTGGAGGCAGCTCTGTTTGGAAAGGGTTTGGTTAAGTGAGGATGGCCTTGAATCAGGGAATCACAGAAAGTTCCAGGTGGAAGGGACATTAAAGGCCATCCAGTGCCACCCCTGCCATGGCAGGGACACCTTCCACTGTGCCAGGCTGCTCCAGCCCCAGTGTCCAACCTGGCCTTGGGCACTGCCAGGGAGCCCGGGGCAGCCATAGCTGCTCTGGCAATGCCATCCCAACCCTGCCCACCCTGCCAGGGAACAATTCCTCATTGCCAAGATCTCATCCAGCCCTGCCCTCTGGCACTGGGAGCCATTCCCTGTGTCCTGTCCCTCCATGCCTTGTCCCCACTCCCTCTGAGCTCTCCTGGAGCCCCTTTGGGCCCTGGCAGGGGCTCTGAGCTCTCCCTGGAGTTTTCCCTTCTCCAGGTGAGCACCCCCAGCTCTCCCAGCCTGGCTCCAGCCCTGGGATCAGTTTAGTGGCCTCCTCTGCACTCACCAACAGCTCCACTTCCTTCTTGTATTGGAAGCCTAAGAGTTGGGGACAAGAATGGCAAAACTGCAGAGAGAAAAGAAATGTCATGTCCAAGCCACCTGCCCAGTCAAACCACAGTTAACCCTCATTGTAGTGAGAGACTTCCCCTAAATAAGAATAAACTTCAGAGGCCAGGAGGGATGGCTCAGTGGCCTTGGTCATTCCTGCTGCTGTTAAGGGTCATAATTTAGGAAATAAAGCTCCACTTCCCAAAGCTGGTGAGCTCCCTGAATATCTTTGGTCATTAATGTGATGCACCCTTAAAATAGAAATTGTTTTCTTGAGCAAAATATTACTGTTTCTTTCTATTGTAAAAAAATATCCCAGCAGTTTGTGTCCCTGGGATTCTGGAAATCCGGGAATTCTGCTGGAGTTTAGATGTTGTTGGTTCTCTGTCTCAGCCTAAACCTCTTTGACATTTATCCTTGCAGCCTATCCAGATTATCAACAGCACCATTGAAATGCTGAAACCAGGGAAGCTCCCCAGTGGCAAGACAGAAATTCCCTTTGAATTCCCACTGCAAATGAAGGGCAACAAAGTTCTCTATGAGACATACCATGGAGTCTTTGTCAACATCCAGGTGAGGAAATCCTGTCTGGAGGGAAAATGGGAATTTTCATCTGCACAGTGTCTTCTGAAGCAGCTCTTAATCCATGGAAATTGAGGAAGAAGTTTGGTGGTGTTTTCTTTTCACACTGACTGAGCCTTCCACCCTTTATGCAGTGAATTTTTTAAGGACTGATGGCACAAACAAGATGTTTGACCTGAAATACCTCAGCAGAGCATCTGTAACCTAAATTTGATCCATCCTGATGTGGTAGGAAACTTCTTTCCATTCCCTTCCTGAAAAAAAAAAAAAACCAGCATCACAGTATGGTTGTATTCCAGATAAATGTGTAATTTCCCATGGTGTTGAGAACAACACAAATCAGGAATTGTTTGCTTTGCTGGGATGAGGAGCAGTAACATTCCCTGCCCAGATCTGCATGGAATACCTGCTTGGACACAGTCTTGTGGAAATAGAGTTCTGAAATTTGATCTTTTTTTGGTTAAAACTTGCCTTATCATAGGTGGTTGGTTTGTTTGGGTGGTTTTTGGTGTATTTTTTAGGTGGAAAGTCTTTCTTCAGCCATCTCTTGAAGATAAATTCCGTGTTAGACAATGAAGTTTGATGCCACTGAAATGAAAAAAACAACCTAATAAACCAAATCACCCCCCAGCAACCTATCAGAAGTAACTAAAGGAAAAAAAAATCTCTTGTTTTTTGTCTGTGTTTGGATGTTTTTTAAATCCTTTCCTTTTATTTGCTCAGTTTTGGCTTCTTCCCTCATGCAACAGCTGTTGTTTGTGGTAGGGATGTCAAAAATGGTGCAGCACTGGTTGAGTTGCTTCCCATATCCCAAATAACTTGCTGTGATCAATCAGTCAGTTTGAGCTGCACTTTAATGAGGAATATTTATTTTGTCATTCCTTCTCTCCTCTGTGGAGCTTTTCTTGGATAAAATATCATTTAAATTTAATAATTTAAATTTCAGCCAAACTTTGAGAGTCCTGCTCTCCTGAGGAGGGAATTGTGACACTGAGGTGCTGGTTAAGAGACACTTCCTAAACGTCTGGGCAGTTTAATTGAGCCTCTCTTTCTTGATTTAGGGATTAATTGTGGGTTCAGGTCTCAGTTTAACCTTTAATCAGACACTGCTGGGGGGCTGTGGCCATGAACCAGAAGTCAGGAACCCAAATCCTGGTCTGAGGGAGGAATTAAAAATCAAACAAAACAAAAAACCCCCATCCCAGCAAGTTCCCTGTCCTGTAGGGACAAGGAGAGGCTTTGTTGGAGATGAAGTGTAGGATTTCTGGGATAACCAAATTCTTAATATTTTTCATCCAATGGTTTATGGCTCCCATTTTAAGGGAGCAAATTGGAAGCAAATTCACCTCATTGCCTGATTTTAGTGCTGCTTTGAGCTCAGCTGGGTGGCTGAAGCTCCCCATGAAATATCCCAACAACTGTGAATTCAATCCCACAATGAAACCAAAATTAAAGGGGCTGAAAACAAAAATACAAAATACAAAAATACATCACACTGATAATCCCTTAACCAAAACAGGGTGAAAAATCACCCTTAACTGGATAAAACAGCAACAGCTCTCTGCACAGAGGCAGAAGGGAGGTGAAAATTTGGGAAGGAGGGAGGAAATCTGAATTAAAGCTTTTCTTTTTTTCCCCTTTTTTCCCTTTTTTCATCCCCTTCCCCCAGTACACCCTGCGCTGTGACATGAGACGTTCCCTGCTGGCAAAGGACCTGACCAAGACTTGTGAGTTCATTGTCCACTCCCTGGTGAGTGTGCTTTCTGTTCATTTTGCAATTAATTAATTTTTTTTATTGGTTTTTTCTCCCCACTTCATTGTCCACTCCCTGGTGAGTGTGCTTTCTGTTCATTTTATTAATGAACAGAAATTAATTAATTAATTTTTTTATTGTTTTTTTCTCCCCACTTTAAGGGAAAAAAATAAACCCAAATAAACCCATGGAAATTGTGATAGTGACATGAGGGATTACAGAAGTGTAGATTCAGAATATCCTGTGTTGGAAGAGACCCCAAAAATCATCAAACCCAACTCCTGGCCCTGCACAGGACACCCCAAAATCCCATCCTGTGCCTGAAACCTTTGTCCAAAATGTAGGAGTAAAGGAAATCTGCCCTGAAACAAAACCACCCCAAAGAGCTGTTGCTTGTCATTAGAAAAACCCATCCCTCTCTTAAAGAACAAAGAGGAGTTGGATTTTCAGATATTTTTACAGTGCCCTGAGTTTATTCTCTTGTTCATCCTTGGAGTTCTGAGACCATGGGGTGGTCACATAAATGTGGTGTCATTTTTCCAAACACTGTTTTGAATTATCCTAGCAGTTCTCAGCCAAAGCTTCCAGGCTCCCCCAGTCCTGGAAATGGGAGTTGGGTGGTGAAAAATCCCTGATTTCTGTTCTTCAGGAGTTCTGACTCCAAACTATCACAGCTGGGTCTGCATCCAGGTGCAAATCATGGAAAGATGGTGGGACAGGCCTTCAGGATGATCCAGTCCCATCCTCACTCCAAACCATGTCCCACATCCAGGCTCCTGAACACTCCCAGAGACTCCAGCACCTCCCTGAGCCACTCATTCCAATGCCTGACCAGCCCTGCAAGGGAAACAAGGGAAAACTTGGTTCTGATTTCTGATTCTTGTTTCTAATCCTAATCCTTGTGGCAGGAGGTTGGACTCCCAGAAAATGCTTTGCTGGTTCTTACAGAAGTTCCTGTGTTGGATTTGGGGTTGGTTAAATTGAGCTATGCTGTCCAGAGCAGCTGAGGACAGGCCAGAGCTGATGAAATGTCCCTTTTTCCATCTATAACTTGCTGGAACACCCTGCTTCTATCATTCCTTTGAACTCTAACAGGACAGTAAACATCAAAATCCTTTGTGTTACTCAGGACTTGTTCTGGAAATGTTATTTTAGTTCTAAAGTAACTTTTTAAAAGATGTAGTTTGGTGTTACCAACAAGTTTCCTGTTGGTAAGATTTCAATATTTTCTGCAATATCTGATGCTACATTTTATTGGTCCATTATTACATTTATAAGTGAGCCACACTTGTCAGAGGAGTGACAAATCACACATTCTGCAGTTTTCCTGGGTTTATTTCTTGTTCCCACTACAGCACTTCTGAGCTCACCAGTCAGTAAATCATGAATCTCTCAGTCAGGGTGAATTAATGAGGTTTTACTGAACATATAATTCTCACTGTCAGTGCTCAGTGTACCATTTCCCTTCAGCTTCTTCTGTGCCAGAATTTGTCATTTTGGGAAAATGCAGCCAGTCTTTTGCTAATCTCTTCCATCTTGCAGCTGGGCAGCAGCAGCTATTTTGAATTCTTGAGCAGTGAGGGCAGATCTTCAGTCAGAGTTCCAGATCAGCCCCTTGCTGGTGGAGAACAAGAATTTATAAAGCAGATTTGAAGCAATGGACATAAGTTCATTTAGAATCTCCACTCCCCAAATTTCATAATGAAAGGAAACATTCCAAGGGACAGGTACAATGAATTTATTTGTACATACAGAAATGTGAAATGGAGCTTTTTTTCTTCTCTGCTTCAGATGGGGAGGGTATTCCTGCTTTTCCAGGTGGTTTAGGGCAGCCAGCTGTTGTGGTTTTTTAATATTCTCTCTCTGTTTTGGGGATCAGATTTCAGTTTTAACCATTCCACTCCCTGCAGTCACAGAAGGGGAAGCTGCTGCCAAGCCCTGTGGACTTCACCATTACTCCTGAAACTCTGCAAAATGTTAAAGAGGTAAGAGGATTTTCTTCTTATTTTATTTTAAATGTAAAGTTTGTGTGTTTCTGAGTGAGACCAGAGGAGTGATTAAGTTCTGCCTTTTAGATTATCAGGCAGATTATCTTGCTTTGTTTTTCCATTTTCTTTTTCACTTTTACGCCTCATCTCTTGCACTGTGGTGACCAATTGAAGCTGGACTTTTGCTCAGGAGCAGTTAAATATTTTTATTTCTTTTCTGAGTGAAAAATGGCAGTGAAGCAAAGGAAAACATTCTATACATGGACAGCCAAGAGCCTTTAAAAAGGTGTTTGGAGCCTTGCTTATGCCTTTTTTTACAGCCCTCTGGGGCTTTGGGAAGTCTCAAGGAGGGCAAGCTTAGATGGGATATTGGGAAATAGGGATTGTTCCTATGAGGGTGGGCAGAGGCTGGGATGGAATTGCCAGAGCAGCTGGGGCTGCCCCTGGATCCCTGGCAGTGCCCAAGGTTGGACACTTGGGCTGGAGCAGCCTGGCACAGTGGAAGGTGTCCCCACCTCCTTCACCACACGGTTCCAGCTCCTGGATGAATTCTAACAGCCAAGTTCTGTCAGTTCTTCCCAGGAAAAGCCCATCCATGGGTGGATGGAGGAGCAGGAAGGACACATGTCAAGAGAGAATATTGTAGGAGAAATTCTGATACAGAGAGACAGAAATGAATTTAAGCTACATGAGGAATTTCTGAACTCCTGAATTGTCAACTTTGGAACTTTTGGCTAATTTCCTACTTGTTTTAAGAGTTTTTTTCTCTTCTCCTTAGTCTGCTCTTTACCGTGGCATCTTTTTCTCCTCCTTCCAACCTTTTCAGAGAGCCTCCCTCCCCAAATTCGTGATCAGAGGGCACCTGAACTCCACCAACTGTGTGATCACGCAGCCGCTGACGGGGGAGCTGGTGGTGGAGAGCGCCGAGGCGGCCGTCAAGAGCATCGAGCTGCAGCTCGTGCGTGTGGAGACCTGTGGTGAGCCCCTGGGCAGGCACAGGCTGCAGGAATTGCCTCCATCCCTTCTGTCTTGGTTTGGAAAGCCAGGTGTCTGCTAAGGAAGGCAGGAGCCTCCCCTGAAATAGAAAATGTAAACCCCCTCCCTCTGAATTGTCATAATTTTGAAATTAAGGGGCTCTCAGGCAAAGATGTGGGAGTAGGAATAACTGTTCTTTATTAGGGAAAAAATAAAAATAAAATAAACAATGCAGTAAACCAAAACAACACAGACAGAGTCAGAACATGACCTGACACCCTGTGGGTCAGGGTGCTGGTAGCAATCCAATTGGAATGGTGGCTGCAGCCCTCCTGGAGTGGCAGGGGTGGGTCTGCTGGGGCAGGGATCCTGTAGAAAGGGGTAGGGTTCCTCTGAAGATCCAGAGGAAGAGGCAGCTGCTGTTCCTCTGGGAAATCCAGTGGAAAAGCTGTTCTTGCTGTCCCAAGATCTCAGATTGTATCCAGGTAGGAATGCTTGGCTCCTCCCCTGGGCGGAGCATCTCCCCATGGGATGATGGAATTTGATCAGCCCTGCAGGGACACTCCCTGGCCATGGACAGCAGAGATCTCCTGGAGGGAGGATTGGCTGTGGGAGAGATAAAGAAAAAACTGCCCCATGAACAGCAGAGAACTGCCCCAGCTCTGACAGGTGGCACATAGAGTACATCTTGCCTTGCAATCTGGGACACCTTCCCAGGGAAACAGGGACCAGCATGAAAGAAAGGCCAGAGCTCTGAGGCCTTGCAGGGTTTGCACTTTGGAGGAACAGCCCCAATATAATTTAAATTATCTCCATGATCCTTTACTCTGTGAAAACTTGCAGGGCATTTTTTTCCCCCTAATCCTGGTGGATCTCTGCTGATTCTTGGCTTCTTTTTTCTGCCTCTGTCAAGGTCGAGATTGAAGCTCTCAAACAGTGTTTTGTGTTCAGGCTCAGGTGTTTATAATTTCTTATCTATATCACAGACATAAAAGCCCTGAGTTCTGCAGTATTCTACTAAAAAGGTACAAAATGGCTAACTGTCTTTCTCTACAAGGCCTTCTTAGGCTAAACTATCCAATTACGAAATGACACTTAAATTATTTTTACTTTTAACCCAATAACTAATCACTTGAAGTCTGCAATGCAAACTTTTCTGTCCTATTACCACCCAAACCCATGGAGAAAGAAGGTGGAGAAGGAGCAGCCTCCACCCTAAACCCTCCATCCTCCTTTATATCTATTCCTGCATTCTAAACCCTTAAGCTCTGAGTTTCCCACCCTGTGATATCACACACTTCTATTCAAACTGCACACCCACAATCCCAGTTCTGTCATTCCATTTTGGAAGCTTCTCCAGGGCCTCAGGTCAATGCAGTGTTCTCTTGGGGGTCAGTGCCTGGCAGAACAGAAAGTCTGGAATTCTCAGCATCCAGGACTCCAGCATATCTGCATTGTGAATTTTGGCTGCTGCTTTCTCTCATCCCCTCCCATTTTCCTCCTCTCTCTCCATGCCCAGGGTGTGCTGAGGGCTATGCCAGGGATGCCACAGAGATCCAGAACATCCAGATCGCCGACGGCGACGTCTGCAGGGGCCTCCCCATCCCCATCCACATGGTGTTCCCCAGGCTCTTCACCTGCCCCACCCTGGAAACAACCAACTTCAAAGTGGGTGAGTGGGGAGGCATCTCCTGGGAGAGGAGTGGCCACGTTCATTCCCTTTCCATGGGCAGGTGAGGGGATAAATCCAGCAGAGCTGCAGGAGGAGCCCAGGACATCCCTGTGCTTCCCTGAGCCTGAGTCCTGCTGCATTTCAGACTGAGAAAACTCAGCCCAAACACTTCAACACAAACTGCTGTGCAGCCACTAAGCTACTCCTAACAAAATTCCATGATGAGGGACAAAATTCCTCCTCCAGGAGGAGCAGTGGAACACAGGTCATGTGATAAAACACTTGAGGAGTAGTGCAGGAATAAAATTCCTTCTTTTCCTCAGCAGTGAGATCCCCCCTTTCCATTTCGTCTCCTTTTTGTTTCCCACTCTCCTGCTGAAAGCCCTGCAAGCAGCAAGGTTGGTCACAGTGTGATTCTCTTACCTACAGCACGTGCTCCTTCCTGCTGATTGTTGTCAAAATCAAGTATTTTTATTACCAAAATCAGGATTTTCCTCACTTGTTGAAATTAGTACTGCAAGAATCCACTTGGCTGGTTTGTATTTCTTCCCTTGATCCTGCTGGAATCTGTTGGCACAGAATAGTGGTGCAGTGGTTTTCCCCAAAATAATTTTTTTTTTTTTTGCCATTTTAAGCTCTTCACTAGCAATTTACAATGAGAATTTGAATTTATTTTGATTTCTGCTTCCCCTCATTTATTAACTCTGCCTGGCTTTTTGTTCTATTTAGAATTGATTATTGCATCTGACACTGATTTTGGCTTTGAAGGACACAGTGTAGTATCTAAGAGCAGATTTTCCTCTGGAATTTTTGCTCCCCAGTGTGCAGGCCTATTGTCTTCCAGTATTTAATTTCCCAAGGCTGTGACATGCTGGAAACAGTCAATGGGTCTGTCCTGGAATTCTCCCATTCCATGCTTTAAGCACCATCTTGGTGGTGTCTTTCCCAAACCATTTTGTTCTTTGATATCTGAATCCTCTTTTCCAGAGGATTGTTTGCCATGGCTTATCAGTGATAAAGCAATCCAGAGGAATCCCATAAGATTACAACAAAGCAGGATTTTCTGGGAATGGTTCAAGGGCTGGGATGCCTGGGTGAGGTTCTGATGGAATGTTTCAGGAGCTCCTGCCTCATCCTGCTGCTAGGATTCAGCTTTCCGCTGGAATTGAAGCAGGATTGTTCCTAGGATTCAGCTTCCTGTGGAATTGAAGCAGGATTGTTCCTAGGATTCAGCTTCCCATGGAATTCTCTCTCTTTTTCCCTTCTCCCAGAGTTTGAAGTGAACATCGTGGTCCTCCTGCACGACGACCATCTCATCACAGAGAACTTCCCCCTGAAGCTGTGCAGGATGTGAACATCCACAGGAGAAGCAGAGAAGGATTTTCTGGGAATTCCTCAGAGGGAAAGTGGAACTTTATCCATGCTTGACTTCAGCTGGAGCCACCTCACTTCCTTCTTCCTGTGGACACTTCTTGTGCTTCCACTTCCCTGTTAGCCTGGCCAAGACTTGGCCTCTCTGCATTTCCCAATCCTGCTGCCTTCAACAACCACGTTTTTCCCAATTTTTCTCAGGCAAATCCTGAAGGAATCATTCTGTAGCTTTCTACAGCTTGTAGAAGTATTCAGCAAGTTCCTCTCTTGATTTAATTTTGTAATATTTGTTCCAAAGTCCTTTGAAGACCCCTTAAAACTCATAAATCCCATTGTAGCCATACTGGGAGGATATGGGAATTGTGACACAATGAGAAATAAGGTCTTTGAAGGTCTAAAAAATGGTGCTACAACTCTGGAAGGTGGTGCTGTGGGATCTGTCCCAAGGTGGATGGGAAATGAATTATTTCAAATCATACCAAGGAAATTTTGGTCAAACTGGGAACAGGAGTTGGTGTTGGAAGGAATAAATTAATGTGTTACTGTACAACTTAAAGGAAAAGTAATTCAGTAAGAAACAACCTTCCCAACACAAACGGGTTGTGGATTTTGATGTTGTTTTCATGGAACAGCCACAACTTGTGGGTTTTCCATTAAGTTTCCATGTGGAGTAGAGGCAGGCTCAGTCTATATTATGGAAATTGGAAGTGTAAAGATGAGCCTCTAAAAAGGCAAAATTAAGAAAACTAAGAAAAATCATTTTCTTTGGTTTGTCCAGCAGCATTGCCAAGCAGGAGAATGTAATTCCAGTTTGGGTCCTGGTGTTTTAGGAAGAAAAAGCTGAAATTTTCCTTTCAGTGTCTGGGAAGGGGGAGGAAAATGGTATTTACTGAAACTTAGCACTTTTCCCTGAGACCAGGGGGATTTGGGGAAGAGCTGCAGCCCCCAAACTTCTGGAAGCTGAAAAGGACTCCAGTGCTGGATTTTTTAGGCCTTAATCCTACAGCACAGAGTAGTTACTCACCCCTAACTCAGAGTGAGCAGAAAATACTACACAAAAACAACAGGTTTGACTGCAGCAGAAATTTTATTTTTTTATTCAAGTGGTAACTAATACAGTGATTAATGAGAGAGGAGTTTAAAACTTCAGCTGGAGAAGATGTAGCAGTGTGGGGAACAAGTGATCCCTGGAATTAGCCAAGAGCTCCTAATCCATGTGATGCTCCCTGGATTCAGACAACAGAATATTTAAGATTCTCAGGCTCTGGTGCTCACCTTTTGGCTGTTTGGGACAAATTTGTCTGTGTTGAAGGTGCTCTGGCCACTTCAGACTCAGAAAACAGTGGGAGAAAATTCCCTGAGCTGTTGGAATTCTGCCCCTCCTGCTACTGGTGACCATTCCTGCACAAAATACAGAGGAAGTGTCACTTAAAAATCCTTTAAAAAATCCTTCCCAATTAAACAGAGCAGCTCTTCAACACGTGGGGAAATTAAAATTTCAACCTTATTTTGAGATTAAAGAACTGATCCATATTAATTTAAAATTCTTGCTTCAAAATGTGACTAAAAGTCATTATTTAAACAATTTGAATTCTCAGCTGTGGGTTTTTGGAGAGAGAGGAGCTGCAAAGACCACACCAGGCTTGAATCCTGGATTATCAATGCCAGAGGAAGGGCATGTCTTGATTTCCAATTCTGTTGGGTCCATCCTTTGGGTCACCTACTTGTTTGATATTGGAATAACTCTGAGGGGAAAGCCCCCTCTTCACAGGAATCATGCACTGGCCTTTCAGCTAAAAGAATTTGCTACTTTCAGTGTCCCTTAGCCAAAAAACCACCAAAGTGTTGTGTGCTGCCAGCCCTGAACTGCACAGCTTCGGGCAGGAACCAGGAGAAATCCTGGATCTTGGAGTGAAATCCCATGGCCAATGAACCCAGGGTTCTGTCCTGTCCCCCAGCACTGGGCTTGTGCTGCAGCCCCTTTACATCTTGAATTCTGCAGTGAAGGAGTAAAACAGGAGTAAAGCAGGCTCAGCTGGACTTGTTCCATGCAGGAAGCTCAGGGAAGTCCTCGGGCAGCAGAGCGTGGACACGGCAGATGGGGCAGGTGCTGGAATGCTGCTTGAGCCACGTTCGGATGCACTGCGGGGACAGGGAGAGGGTCACAGGCAGAACTGGGAAGGGGAGCCCAGGGGAGGCTGAAAATGATTCATTGGCACTAGTGGGGAAGCTCTTCAGGGAGTTCTACACCCACAAATTTCAGTGGTGTGGAACTGTCCTCCTGCTCTGATCAGATTTATTCTGCAAGAACAAATCGGCATTAAAACCAAAAAGGTAAAGGGAGAAACGTGGAGTTATTCCAACACAATCCTGGATTTTTTACTTCATGAATTTCCACTAGCAGGAGGCAAATACAGAGTTTTCAGGGATAACCCATTCCCTGAGTGTGCTGCCAGCAATCCCAACCAAATTCATTCTCTGAAGCATCATCTGAAATCCATTCTGATGAATCATTTTACTTTCAAGAACACCTAAAGCTTTCTGTGGGCTGTGGGTCAAGTTTGGATGGCAAAGGCTACAAAAAGGAATTGTACCCTGTTGTTTAAGCACTGAAGGGTAAGGGGAGGGTAAAGGGGTTGTTTTTGAGGAGGAGATGAGGAACGGGAGCAGAACTCACCTCTCTGTGGAAGTGATGGCCACACTCGAGCTCACAGCAGTCTCTGCTCAGCTCATCGTGACAGATGCTGCAGGGATCCTCACTGCAGGCCTGGCCAGGAGAGGAATGCTCAGGTATTTAAAAATCAGCAATTAACCAGCACAATCTACTCAATTAACAAGGTCACTAACTTTAACCAAGTCTATTGAAAAATAAACAAGGCAATTTTTTTTTTCCCCCCAGGATTATTTCGTGTCTTGTACAAAGCACATGGCAACAACTCCAGTGAAACAGAAAACTTACAGCACTGTCCTGCTTCCTCCATTTGGCTTTAGATGTAGCTCCAGCATTTCCCCAGGGCTGCAGGTTTGGCTGGGAGGGGTTTTTACTGGAGGGGGTTTTAGGGGCGGGTGCTGCCCGGGGAGAGCCGGGGCGGATTCCTTCCACGGGCGCTTCCCTGCCCCGGGGAGCGGAGCCCGGGGAGTGCAGGTCTCTGCCTCCTGGAGGTGCCTGCACAGGGATCAGAAAGGAACTGTGTTCTTGGGGCTGTGCTGCCCTGCTTGCCATGGGAGGAAGAGGAGCAGCTGCAGCTCCAGTACCTTGAGCTGCTGGTCCAGGATGAGCTCGGTGGCCTGGCTCAGGATCTCATCGGGGCTCAGGCCGGCCACGCTGTTCCCATTTCTCCTCTGCACATCCCTGATGGAGGCAATGAGGTCTGAGCTGCAGGGACAGGAAAGGCAGGGTCAGGGATGGCCCTGGAGAGCAGGACAGGCTCACTGTTTGATCCCAGCAGGATCAAAGATAGCAGCTTTTCCCAGGAACTGGAGTCTGCTCCCAGTGACTCGCAGTATCCAGGATATAATTCCGTGAACAACCAACAGAATTCCTGCTCCCAGTGACTCGCAGTATCCAGGATATAACCCCTGAACAACCAACAGAATCATGGAATGGGTTGGGAGAGACCTGAAAGCTCATCCCATCCCACCCCTGCCATGGCAGGGACACCTTCCACTGTGCCAGGCTGCTCCAAGCCCCAGTGTCCAGCCTGGCCTTGGGCACTGCCAGGGATCCAGGGGCAGCCACAGCTGCTCTGGCAATTCCATCCCAGCCCTGCCCACCCTGCCAGGGAACAATTCCTCATTCCCAGTATCCCATCCAGCTCTGCCCTCTGGCAGTTTGAAGTCATTCCCCCTTGTCCTGTCCCTCCACCCCTGGTCAGCACAACAAAATCAATTCTTTCTGCCCTTCATCCCAGGCTGTTCAGACCATGTTTCACAGCACTCCTTCCACCCAGTACCTGCTGTGGCTTGGGAATATACTCTGGAGCTGGGCTAAAATATTTTCACTTTTTTTTGGAAGCTTTTTGTTGTTTGGAATTCCAGAAGGTCTCGGCTGCAGAGCTGAGGGATCTTGGTGGGTCTGGTTGGGCTGGACATGCTGGGAAGTACTTCCAGAAATGCCTGATGGGCAGGATGGTGAGATTCTATTGGAATGTGATCCCTCTGGAGCTTTGGGATGTGCTTTCCCAGCTGCAGAAGAAGCCTCGGAGGCTGCAGGTGCTGCCTTAGCTCCGGTCTGTGCTTGCAGTGGAGGCTGGGCTGGAGCTTTTCCATCACAACTGGAAAACGCAGGGAGGGCACTGGGATGTGCAGGTGCTGAGGAATAGGTGACAATGGCAGGATCACACATGGGAGGTCTGCCTGGCATTGTCTAGGAAACAAACACATTTCACAGGAAACAGTGATTAAAACAAATTCAGCATTTGCAGTGGGGATTGTAACAGGTTTGGCTCTGCCTAGGATCTCAAAGGTGACATCAGTTTATCTTAAAAACTCCCTGACATCAGGGCAGTTGTTTGACCTCATGGTTATTTCTCTTCTAAAAGGTCACTCTGGGTCTTACTGCAGGAAAAATAAATTCCAAATGCAAAACAAGAGGCACAAAAGTTTCTCTTTGCCAGTAAATTGGTGGTGATTAAGTTGTCTCCATATTCTGTGTCAGTAAATAGAAAGGACAGAACTAAAAATAAGTGGGGAATTACACAGGAGAGTAGGAGTGGAACTTGCAGAAGCCCAGAAAAAGTGTAATAACCATCTCAAGTATTAGACCAGAGCCTTGAATCTAAATTACACTCAGATAAAAAAAAAAAAAACCAAACAAAAAAACCAAAAAACCCCAAACCAAGGATTTCAACAGAGAAAAGAAAAAACAAAACCCAAAACTTAAAAAGGACAATCAGAGAGGTCAGAAGAAACTGCTTTGGTTTGAACAAAGCATTGGTGGAGCTGTTGGGCCATGAGAAAATGTCTGTGAACAGAATTTCTGGAGCTGTTCTCATTCCAGATGCAATCCCAGAAATGGCTCTGCTCCTCCTGACACATCTGGCTGGGAGCTGAGCTTGGAGTTTGCAGTCAGTGACACACAGTGCTGCAGGAATTCCTTTGGGAAAACTTCCCCATGAAAGGGTGCTCAGGCCTTGGCAGGGGCTGCCCAGGGAGCTTTGCAGTGCCCATCCCTGCAGGTGTCCCCTGGAGGTGGCACTGAGTGCTCTGGGCTGGGGACAAGGTGGCCGTGGGGCACAGCTGGGACTTCATGGGCTGGGAGGGCTTTTCCAGCCTCAGGGATTCTGGGATTCTGCATGATGGGGCTTATCCCAATGATTCTGGGGCTGTTCAAGCTGGAGAAGGCTCCAGAGAGCCCCTTGCAGTGCCTAAAGAAGCTCCAGGAGAGCTGGACACAGACTTGGGAGAAGGGATGGACTGACAGGACACAGGGAATGGCCTTGAGCTGAGGGAGGGCAGGGTTGGAGGGGATAATGGGCAGGAATTGTTCCCTGGGAGGGTGGGGATGGCCCTGGATCCCTGGCAGTGCCCAAGGCCAGCTTGGACATTGGGGCTTGGAGCAGCCTGGCACAGTGGGAGGTGTCAGGGCTGGAACTGGCTGATCTTTAAGGTCCCTTCCAACCCAAAGCATCCTGAATTCCAGGATTTTGGTGCTACAGGAACCCTACAACGGACAAAACCATCAGTGAGTCATTTCCAACTTGAAGCAGCTTGAGCCTCTCTCAGGAGCTGGGAATGTGCTGCTCCCTGACCCTCCC